AATGATTTACATGAATAAAAAATATCAATTTTGATAAAAAATTTCGCAGCATGATTTTTGTACGTACTAACCCATATGAAACTTTATATTTTTATTTCTTTTTCTTGTTTGATAAAAATTTTTTTATTACACTCTTATCTTTATATGGGATGTTTGCTATTAAAATTGAATTATAAACATAATAAATCATATGATCTGTAACGTGATTTTAATAGCAAATCTCCCATGTTTACTAGTAAACAATGTTATAATTATAACTTATAATAAAAAAAAGTTTTTTTTTATTTCAATCAAATTATCTTGTATAATGATAATAGAATGTCATAGTAATACATATTGTTAAAGTATGTAGATCTTATCACATTGCAGTATTTTAGGCACAGCACTTTATAATTTATAGATAATTTATAAAAATAAACAATAGTGATAATTTGAATCAGAAAATTTTTGTTTTAATACAAAATAATTTTTTGGTTACTTTCAAATTCTCTAAAAAAAAAATAAAATTTACGAGGCATATTATTATAATAAAATGGATTAAGTGTTTGAAGTTTCTGGCTAATTGCATCTCTAGTTGTCTATTAAATATGAATAATTATGAGTGATACTTTTAGAGGGTGTATGTTTGTATAATAATAACAGAATGTAATAATATACAAAGGATTTACTCTATGTAAGATTAAGTTATTAATAAATATAACTTTTTTTAGGCAAAATTTTCAGTTATATTCATCAATTTATTTTCGTCATTAATTTATTATATTTACTGCTCCAGTTACTTTTACCAAATTTGTTCAGATATTTATTTTTTTCTATTTACTGCGGCAACAAATAGAGATATTTATTAACTTTATTTATTTTTTATTTTAGTAAAATATGGTATTACATATATAGTGCGTAAATGCCATTTTGCTATTCCAAGTAATTAAATTATATATCTTAAACTCATTATAGTGAAATTATTAAATGAAGGATATTTTATTAATCTTTAATCGCTAAGAATATTCATATTATTACAAATCAAGGATTATTATATTTCAATATAGAATCTTGCTAATAGTTTATACTTTCTGTTATATTTAAATATTAATAATATTAGAAAGCAGAAAGCAGAGGATTCTTTTGAAGACGAAAAAAAACTTTATAATTTATTTTTAAATCTGTTATTCAAATATTTCTATTTTTAATCAGAAATCCTATTTAATAAATTATCATTTGGTAAAATATTTTATTTCTTTTATTTAAAATATATTATATATATTTTTTAGTTTGTATATCAGACTATTTTATTTCATATTAATATGCTATCTTAATTATTTATTACGCAAATCATTCTTAATACTGATTTGACGGAATAATACTCTTTTTACCAAGAAATTTACTCTAAACCTTCAATTGCTTTATCATTAAAAACTGATTTCTTCATACTTTTTTCTTTTGTATTACAAAAAAAACAAAAACCAAATTAAGCTACTTTTTCAGACTGAAATTCTATGATCGATATTTGCGTTAACTTATTTTATAAAACATATAAACAAAGTTATATTTGTAATAATTTCAGATTTTCCATTTACTTTTTGAAGTCTTTTATTTTAATATTGTTTAAATGCATAAATTATTAATAGTAAATGAAATTCAGATTTAGTTGTAACCTTTATATCATATATTTATTTAAAATTATTTTATGTTTAATTATAATTTAGCAATGATATAAAATAATTTAAACTATAAGGACTTTATACTCATCATTTAAATATATTCTTATGAAGATTTTCAATTTCTGATGATATGAAAAGTACTCTTCATATTACTTATCTCTCAAATAATTTAATTAAACTGATATTGAGTCATTATAAAATTTTATTTTGAAACTTGATAGGTATAGAAAGAAATTTGTAATCCTTAAAAAAATTGGCTAATAGTGAAAAATAAAATCAATTAATTAAAATTGAAGATAAATTTTTCTTTACCATTATTTAGTCAAAAAAGTATTTTTACTTTTAAATAATAATAATAAAATTAATGTTTTATATTGATATTTTAGTAATTATCAGTTTTATTTCTATTTATCCCTATTTTTTATTATAGTAATAATCTTATCATACTTATTGATATTTAACATTAATGGTAATTTCCAATTCCAAAAGAATTTAGTTGAATAATTTTCTGATTCATTGGCTCCTTTTAGAATTTCACCTTCTAGTATTCTATATGTTAAACCATTTAACAGAATTTTATTTCGTTACCTTTTCTGTAATTTTTGATATTTTTAAAGAAACTTTTAAGCCTAAATTTTTCATAAATATTATGGAATTAAAAGTATTAATTACTTGTTATTATTAAATTTGTTGAAAGGAAATCTTTTTTACAAATTGAAGAAAGGTGTTAAATTATTTTATTATATTCAGTTAGAGAATGCAAAATCAGTTCAAGAATAGCATCATTTATTAGCAAAAAACATAGTTCTGATTATGGATTATTAAATCAAAGAAACTAGGTAGCAATAATTAATTGGAATCTTGATATTATTAATAGGATTTGGAAATGAGATATAGGCTAGACAGCAACTATAGGTCATAGCGATTGAATTATTTATTTTTCAATATTTTCTTTTTTAAAATCTCTCTTTTATCTTAAATCATTTATTTTTTTTATTTAGATTTTTAGTTTTAAATTTTAAAGTTTATTTTTTGCTTTTATGCTTAATCGGTAAAATTTTTCTTTCATATTTTTAATTTCATCCTTTTTTTTTCAAAAGACAAATTGGATCTTTTCAGAAGAAATATATAAATTCTTTTTTTAGAATGTTTATTATTTTTCAAAATTTTTTTAATCTTGTTATGTTATTTTTTTTTTGCAAAAGCAATTATATTTGTAAAGCAATGCTATACCAATCTCTGGTTTTATTTATTAAATTATGTATAAAATATATTGTTTCAATCACTTATATATAGTTTTCCAAATAGGTATGATTTACAGTCACCACTAGTTATAATGAACCTATTATACTAAAAACTCATTATATCAAACCAAGTGATGCAAAACTAATTTTTTTATAATTAATTGCACTAGATATACTGAAATTATATAGTAAAATAACATATACCGCATTTGAACTTATATTGGCTAAACTAAATATATTAGTTACGTATTTGATACACAAAATGATCATACTTAAATTAATATAAAATTATATTATTGTAACGTAAATAATCTTTTTTTAATCAGAATACAAAAATTTTGTTTAAACAATCCTAATATCATGTCATGAAAAGGGTTATTCTTTCAGCTGCAAAAGTCTAAGTCTTCCTAATATTGAACTTGTATACCAATATTATATTAGGGTTTATAATAATTTAATAATTTTGTTAATACAGAAAATAATATAAATACTAATTCCAATATTACTAATATGATCACATAACTTTAATTTTATTGGTAGACTCTATATACTGAACTGTTCAGTATATAGAGTGATCACTATATAACTAACTCATCCTATACTGAACTAAATCTTCTGGAATAGCAGGTTCATTATATTCAGTATTGACTGTTTACTTTTTTTACTGCTAAAAATAGATTCAATTTTTTATTCAATCATAGTTTATACTTTTGTGATATATGATAAAAAATATCAAATTTATCTTATCATCTCATAAAAGATAATTATCTTGCATTTTATATGAATAGAATGATCTTACAGAATAAATGTAAAGGAAATCTATTGAAGCTATTCTACACAACATAGTTTATTTATTTCTCAAAATTCAGATTTGTAAGACGAAGCTACATTATTGCATTATTATTCAGATTATCATTCTGCTTATCAATTTAATTTCTTTTTCATTTTGCATAATATTTAGAGTACTATAAGAGGTTGTGAATATAAAAAGATAAGCAAAATTAATCAGTGTATAAATATTTTATGATTCTTGCTAATTTATCATTTAACATATTGATATACACTTTTCATTCAGTTGATTTAGTCTAATTACAAGTTTTAAAGTTTAAAAATTTTACTATCACGTATTGCACAATTTGTTTATAAATAAACCTTTGCAATTTTGCTTTATCATATCTAATTTTTAGAAGTTTTGTAAGAACTCTGAACATGTATTATGAATCTTAAAAGTTAATTTAAGGTTTAAAATTTTTTTTTAAATAATATATAAAATAAAATTAAAGCAGTATAATTACAAACTTATCAAATTTCATTTCAAAAAAATTATTGTATTCCTAGTCAGAATTACTATGAGCTTCACCTCTACCTACGCTGTCTAAAACTTTTGAAAGAGAATTATAAAGGACACTGTGCTATAAAGTTATTTATACAATTTAGTTGTATTATTTTGATGCTCCTAGTCCTAATTTACTTTAAGAAACTGAAGTAAGTACTAAAATAGAACCTTTCTCATTCCTAGCAGAAGATCAGACTGACTCTTCATCATGAAAGAACTTAAAAACAAAAAAATAAAATTGGAAAATTTAATAATCAAAAAAAAAAATAATGTTAAAATGAACGGAGAAAAAAAATTATCTATCACATACTGGAAAATAATCAACTATCACTGCAATCCAAAGTTATCAAAAAATTAACTGAAAACAAAATAGTTCAAATTTCAAAAAAAAATAAATATATATATAAAATAACTTATTCGCGCTAACAATCTAATTAGAAATTTAGATTAAGAAAAATTTTCGATACAAAAGTATCAATAAAATTTTTGTTATGTAAGCATAAAGATAAAATATATACTAGTAATTTAACTAATCAAAAATTAAATTTTAAATCAGCAAATATTTGTCACACAAAATGATCATGTTATAATTTTTTTTTATCACATTTAATTTCTAGATTTATCATTCTAACATAAAATCGAATTATTTAATACTATCAATACCTTGTTATATAAACATTAATATATTATTATAATATTAGTAATGTTATCAAAAATAAAAATATAAAGTCTATTTTCGATCTATTATTAAAATTTTTTTTTAGATTTTTGTAATTTACATTTGCCTATGTAATTTTCAAATTTTACGTCTTATTCATTTTTTATTTAGATTTCTTATTGTTAAAATAACATGATAAAATTTTTTATATTTAAATCGCTTTTATTTAAGAACTTATAATTAAAATCATTATTTATATTTTATGCTTGCAATTTACATTTGTGAATTTTCAAAAATTTCTTTAACATTAACGATCTTTTTAATATTAGTTACAGCTACATATAAATACGATACACTTTTGCATTAAAAAAATTTTGAAAGTGTAATTTAATTTTTATATAAAAAAAGAATGCCTTATTTTATTTATTCGATAATGGTATGAAAATCTGTAAAAAAAAATTTGATCTAGATTAATTATAACATACATGTAATACTATATCGTAACTAGATAGATTTGTTGATAAAAAGAATTATTTTCTCTATAAAGTTACCAGCATCTTAATATTTTTCATTACTTTAAATTTGCAACAGAATACCTTAATGTTGCATAGCTTATATGATCACATTTGCCATTTATAGTACCAGTTATAATATCGAATGGTGTCGAAATTAAAAATTCAGAAGTAAATTATATTCCATTTAAAATTTGAAACTGCAATCAGAAGAAAATATATAGTAATAAGTTTGGTATATATTTAATAAAACTATCGATTACTTTACCAGTTTTGTAACATTAGGATAATCAAGAAAAGCTGTAGCAAATTAACTTCTCTATGAATAGATATATAATAAATAGTATATCAATGAAAAGTTCAGTAAATAAAATGAGTAACTAAAGCAAAATTTTGTTTCTTTGTGATGACTGTAATATCAGTACAAAGTTTCTTTTTGATTATAATTATCAAAAAATTTAGATATTTAGTTAAAAATTTAAATAATTAATAATTAAATTTAAAAAAAAATAATAAATAATATCATAGGTTTTATAAATAGTTTAAATTTTACAAAGCAATATTAGATAATGATTATCATTTTTTAAAAACAGAAAAAAAATAATAATTAGGAAATTTTCCTTAAATTTGGATTTTCATTTAAAATACAAATTATTTGAATATTAAATATCAAAAATCAATTTAGATCTGAAATTGCAATATATTTTTTTTTAAAAAAAATTTGAAAATGGGAATAATAAGTTTATTCTTTTGATAAAAAGAGAAGATTAAAATGATTTTAAAATAAAAAAATTTACAATCTACTTAATTAACGAAAATTTGAAAAAAAATCTATTATTATTGTTTCAGTTTTTATTAAAGTTTAATCTGATATAGTTTATTATATGATTTTATTAAAAAAGAATTAGAATAAGATATAGATCTGTTAATTTGCTAAGAGGTATATTAAGTTTTTACCTAATTTTTTGACAAGGAAAAAAAAAAGATATGAAGAAAATATTAATATACATTCGATTATATTTTTATATGTAAAATATGATTTTAAGAGATGTGATCAGGTCATACCTTCTAATTGAATAGCAGTCTATATTGATAATAATAGTATATTTATTCAACATACAAGAAAGGGTACCTGATCTGAATCATGTATTTTCAACTTGTCTGCATATTATTGCAATAAAGATAAACATTCAGATATACTCAGTTTTTCAATTAATCAAACAGAAAATCTGAATATATCAATCATTTGATTGGTAGTAAAGTTGGAATATATGCTGCATCTCTTCAATTTAGTTCAGAAAGCTCATACAAATATGAAGGTTATGGTGTTGTTACATATCTCATAATTGATTCAATAAACAAGCTACAGTCATATCTCTATATAGTCACGCAGTTGAACGCACAAAATAGTGTGCTTATATTAATATGTGACTGTATAGAGGAAACCTTCATATAGTCATATTTATAGAGATCACGTAGAATTGTGATTGTATAAAGGTTAACAACTTCTATGTATTTTTTTTTTTATTAGA